CCACTCACCACACCCTCTGTCAACACAAGCCTCAGAGCAAACCGAGCTTACGGGGCCAACAGGCTGCAGCCCTGCGGCCACCCACAGCCGGCACGCCTCTGGGGACTCTGTGGGAACTGGGCTCAGGGCTGGCACACCATGCTGGAGTCTCTGGCTGCCTTTCTGCCCCCAGTAAATGCCGTGGCGCATCGTCCATACAAACCGGCCCTTGCTGGCTCTCCCCACGAAGGGGCCTCCAGGGGGAGATGCCCCCAGTCACTTTCTCACCTCTTCCTGAAAATCGACTGAAGCAAAAGCGACCCCACTCAACCCTCATCCACCCCCACCCAGAACGAACCTTCTCCCGCTGGGTCTCTGCCCAGCACCCGTCAGCCTCCTCCAGGCCAGCACCTTGAGACCTCGCCACGTGCCCTCTCCGCCAAAATTAGCTGTTACTCCCCTCGATCCCATCTCACTTCAGTCTCTTTGAGATGGCCCTACGTCTCCAGCCCGTGGCCCTGTCATGATCTCTGTGGCTGTTTTCTGGGCTTGTCCACTGGTCCCCAGCTCCTATCCTGGCCTGCTGTTTGCCAGGTCCAAGTCTGTCACTTAAGCTGCCACAAGATGGGCCTGTCCAACATGCAGAGCTGGCCGTGACGCTTCATTCCAGTCAGAGGCCCTGACAGAGCCCCCGCCATCAGGACCAAGCCTGGCTCTGTGGATGGGCGGGTTTGCGCCATCGGGCTCTGTTCCCTCAGGAAGGCCCTTCTCCCACAATGTCCCGTGCCAGGCTCATTCCTCCAGGACTCAGCCGGGGGCTTGCCTCCTCTAGAAGCTTCCTGGGCCCCCCAGGTGGGCAGGTCCCCTGAGGTCTTACCGGGCCTGCCTAGAGCTTGTCCTCCCGGTCCCCTGCTACTCTCCAGGGCAGGCACCGTGCTGACTCACTGTTCCATCTCACAGGGCCGGCCCTGCAGGCACAGCGAAGGCTGGGTCAGGACGAGCTCTCTCAGCTCCGAGGCTGTAGCCTGTATGCTTTTGCTTCTTTGTGCTTCTCAGATAAATTTCTACACAGGAAAATACTTGGATGCATTTAAGAGACAAAATTGCTTTTAGAAAAGAAGGTGGCACGGTCTGTATGAAAAAACCTCTTCATAGCCTTGACTTCCTTAGGCAAGGAACCCAGGGACCAGCGTGGTGAGTGCAGTGGGTGCCACTCGGCAATGGTGAAACCAGCAGTCGT